TAATCAAATGTTTATTCAGGAATGTTCTTTTTTTTTCCTTTCAATTTTTACTAACTTCCTGTTATTTTTTTATGTAAATATTAGGAAATTATTCGCAAATGAATTTTATTTGATTTTAATTTTCAATATTAGTTTCGTGATTGAAAAATTGTACAAAATCTAATACAATCTTAATTGCAGCAAAAGCTTATTATAAAATCTAAATCTAATGGCAGCTTATTATAAAATAATAGAATCTATATAAATTAGTCAGCTTGTAATTAGTGAGGAAATTGCATTGCCCAGAGTACCCAAAAGGTAAAAAATAAAATTAGCAAATGTATTTGATTTTTAACTTTTTATCCGATGGTTCTGGGATCTATCATAATGTTCTATATTCATAATTTAACCTTAGATGCCTTTAAAATCGAGAAAAATACTTTACCCTACATGTAAAAATCAGCCATTTTTTAATATTTTTTGCATTTAGTGCAATCCAGTTTTCCAAATTCAGAGACAAATTTTCAAAAACAATTTGATAATTAAATAAAATAGCTTAAATAACATTCTATTAAAAATTAAAAAGAACACGAGTTAGATTTAAAAGGAATTTGTTTTTCAAAAAAAGGAGAATATTTTGCATTATTGGTCGAAATTAAGAGGATATTAAGTATAACTGGATTCTATCAAATTTTACCCAGTTATTAAGCTTGAAACAAATCATAATATGAATTTCGAGTTCAAAACAGTTGTTTGCTGCCATATGATGTATAATTTGTCTATCATTCAAAAATAAAAGTGATTCTGCAGCAATCAAAAACTCGCGAAAAAAAATATTTGAATTGCAAGAAAACAAGTGATAAATAGTTATCAAGCATTAAAGTTTTATGCTAGATACTGGTTTCAATCTGAAATCTTATTGAAGAATAATCTATATAACTATAGCAGGGGTGGCCAACCTGAGGCTCGCGAGCCACATGCGGCTCTTTGAAGGATTATTTGTGGCTCTCGGTAATTCCCTTTTCATTTTCGTGCTATTATATCCCATTTCATTTCGAATTATTATCATTCCGCATGTGTTTCAAAATGTCTTCTAAATTACTGAGAACAAGTATGAAAGATTAAATGCAACGTTTTTCAATTCAAGGTGAGTTTTCCGTTTCCAATATAATTATGACACAAAAAGCATCTGCAGAATTAGAATTAATAGAGATGCAAGAAGATCAAGCTCTACAATTAAAATATAAATCACCGTCGATTACTGAACTTTGGAAATTTGTACCAGAATCGAAGTAAAATCGAATTAAAAAAGGCTGCTTGTCGAATTATTTCAATATTCAGAACAACGTACCTAATTATTTTATTCCACTTTAAAATTCGTGAAATCCAAACACCGATCAGTATTAACTAACCAGCATCTCAAAGAATTACTGAGAAGAGCTGTCACCAATTATTCAGTAAATTTTAAAGAATTACCAAGAAGTAAAATAAATACGTTTAATTTTAAATTCAATGCACATATTTTGTACTTTTACTTAGATGTTTTCAATAAATATAATTTACGTAAAAATTTTTTTAATACCTTTTAAATACGTATTTAATTGCGACTCGGGAAAAATTTTAAATTTTGAAAAATGGCTCGACTATGTAGGAGCTTGGCCACCCCTGAACCATAGTATGGTCCTAGTCACAAAAATTTAAAACGCTTTGAGGAAGAAAAAAAAAAAGAAAAATAACAGACTACGTTTTTCAACAAACACTCTATAAAACCTAGGTGACTAGGCTCTTTATTTACTGGAAAAAGAAAAGAAAAAAAAGACCATGATTTTTTCTAACTCTGATTTTGACTCTTAAAATGATGTTTTACTAAGCATCATTATGGTGATGCTTATTATAACTTTAGAAGTTAACTTATAAGTTTACTAAGCATCTCTATGGTGATGCTTTGTAACTTTATGTATGGGAGATTTTTCTTCTGTCTACAAATAACTAATGTATTTGCAACATTAAAAAAAAAAATAACTCTTACATGTAATTCGTTTTCTGAGAAGGTAGTTTTATTTGAGTCCCATAGTGGAAGACACGGTTCCGAGTAGATAGCCCAGCATCACTGACAGTGGTCATTGAGCTGGTGGGTGACCACTTTGAGCTGACTGAGAGGGGGTTCGCTGTATCGGCCCTAGTTAAGCTGTTATACCGTAGATGGATAGACTTCGGGGCAGGCCGTCAGGCTACGAAAATAAGGGAAACCATCCCCTCTGCAGAGGATCAAAATTGTGATGGCATGGCTTCGAATCATTCTCATGTATATTTACAAGACAGTCGCCAATAGCCCTTTGTCTGGTAAGACGCAAATAAAGCACCACTATATACTACTTTATTTGAATTTCTTTTCATCAGCATTGGAGGGGGGACACTAGTTAACTTGATCTCAGGAATTTTTTGCATATTTCTAGTATGTTAGTAATATGTCGAAAATATATATAGTATATTTGAGAATTATCTCAAATTGCGTGTGACAACTATACTAATTCTTATTAAGTGTCAACTGAAAAAAGGTTAAAACAACATTTCAAAGTTGAACAACTTCCGACTTGTTACAGTAAAATAATCTTTAATTTAAAAGGTACCTTTATATCTTTTAAAAGTATTATTTTAAAATAAAATAAATTAAAAAAAACGCTATTGATTTAGAAAAAAAAATCTATAGTTTTCATGCAACGGATATGTAGCGGAGTTCATAAGAATGTGTTCAATGTGAAAGAGCAG